CCCCCTTATCACCCAGGTCAACCATGGACATCACCAATTATCCCCCTTATCACTCGTATCAACCTCCTTGATCACCAATACCCCTCTTATCACCCGGGTCAACCATGGAGATCACTAATATCCCCCCCCCTTATCACCAGGGTCAACCATGGACATAACCAATACCCCTTTATCACCTGGGTCAACCTACTTGATCAGCAATATCCCCCTATCACGCGGGTCAACCTACTTGATCACTAATACCCCCCTATCACCCAGGTTAACCTCCTTGATCACCCGGGTCAACCATTGACATCATCAATACACTCACATTATCACACGGGTCAACCTCCTTGGTCACCAATACCCCCCTTATTACCCGGGTCAACCATGGACAGTGCCAATACCCATAACCCCCCTTTTCCCACCAGGTTCAACAATGGACATCGCAGATACACATAACTCCCCCGCCCGGGTCAACCATGGACATAACCGATCCTACAGAGGATACATCAAGATCTATAATCATGCGCTCAGCGCATTGTATTATCTCCTAACAAGTACATAGTACAAAGTTTCCTCCTGATTGGATAGTTCAGGTATGTTCTCATATCACATAGATCCGGGAGGTCTTATGTTGATTGTAATGTGTATGACCTTATCTGATTGAATAACCAATCTTAGTGATAGAATAACTATGTACTATAGCCATCCAATTAGCGGCCCTCAATTAAACACGCTTTGGAAGATCTAAAGGAAATTGCACAATCAGATCATAGCGTGTATAATATAGCTTTATAAATCACCGGGAACGGTCCTGGTTTGACGCTATGTAGCAGGAATCAACACTATGTGACTTTGGAAACCTGTAAAATGTCCCATAAACCGGCTCTAAACGACATGCGAAATCCCACTTGATGAATACCGAACGGTATCTGTATCGTATTCACATTTCTACGCTCGCACTCCATATACAAACAATGAGATTAATAAGAGCCCGCAGCCATTGGCGCCGAGCGCGGCCTACGCACGCTCCTGAAGCCCTCCAGCGGCTCTACAGTACACAGAGCTGCTAGGCCCGGGCTCTCCGTCGGCTGGGCCTTCATTAGAGGCTGCAGTGCACAGCGAGCTCCGCCCCGCCAGGCCAAAGCCGCGCACATTTTTTTTTTCGCCGCCGCCCAATGCGAGGCCTGAGTGGGCTCACTCGGCGGCCAGTGCTCACCTTGCTTATTCTCGTTCAGCTGCCGCTCGAACTCGTCGAATTCAGACATGTTGAAGGCCGCCGATGCGGTCACCGCGGGCCAGTGTCCAAGCGCGGCCCCCTCACTCTTCGTTCTCTTCAAGAGGAAGACGAGGCAACAGCTCCACACATACCCTAGGAACTTCGGCCGTTTCCGGAAAAAAGGGGTGGGATTTATCGTACAATCCGGGGATCTCCGTCAAAGAAAATGCAGCTCGCCTTTATGGCTCGGCAGTTTTCGGAGAAAGTGGGTGGGTCTAAAAGGAGGATCGGCTATTCCCGGAAGTTGTGGGCGTGGTTATGGGCCGAACCTGGAGTTGGCAGTGGAGAGCTGGGCCCTGCTTGAACGTTCAGCTTTTTAGTATGGAATTTCCGTTTCCTGTTACAGTTTTATCTGCTAGCCAATCACAGTGGTCCACTGAAACTGGCGCCGACCGTGCGCTCTCCTCCCACCAATTGGCGGGTGTCAGTAAAATCGCGAGAGCAGAATCTGTCATTCAAACAGAGCGCACGTACGATGCGGGAGAACAAAGGGCGCCGGGAGGGGGAAGGGTATTGTGGTACCCTCCACGTGCTGACTGGTGGGAGGAGGAGGAGGAAGTAGACATGGCTGAGCTTTGTGGGGTGATCTTTGTTGTCACAGGCTCTCATTTAGGTGCACACTGCCACTTATTCCATATTAAGGAATCACTTAACTGTATAGAGTGTAATATAAAATAAAAACCATATCTGATGTTTGGGAAATAGTATCTCATCCACCCCAATATGTTCAACTACAAAGTGTCTATTCACAGCAAATATGATAATGTGCCACGTGATGATCAGCGCTACAAAGTACCCCTGAAGACGCATTCCTTATACATAGATGTCTATATATAAATGTCCCACACATTGTTATCATTGGACTTTATAAATCAGTGGTTCTCAACCTGCGTAACTTCAGGGCCCACACTTGTCCCTTGTCATGACCCAAGTCATACCGCACTGGAACGCATGGCCTTGTGGTAGAACTGTGGCTGGGAGATGCGTTTGGGATGTCATTCAAATGCAAGTGCAATGCAGCGCACCGCCTGCACCAGAACGCAAGGTAGGAGCAATTGCAGACTTACAGACACAATCTCACACACCCACAGACGTTGTCACACACATACACACTCTGAAAAAAATAAAAATGTTGTTCTTTTTTTAAGATCCACCCAGTCTCCCTACCTTACGAGAACTGTTGTGGATCCTCAGCCTGGGGTCCAGTGTGGGCTGCTGTGCTGTGATGGAGCTCCATCCATATGCGCATTGCTTGTACAGCTCCCCTGCGTACCCTGTAGAGATACCAGGAGCCAGAATGTGACGTCACTCCAGTCCAGGCACCTCTACAGAGCACATGAGGGAGCTGTAAGCAATGCACGTATGGATGGAGCTCCCTCGCGGACATAGCCCCATCTCATCCCACCTTAAATCGGCACCGGGCACCATATTTTGAATGGCTGCTCAGTGCGAGAATTGACAGTGCTGTGCTAGGGGGAGGCTGAGGAGCCTCTCACCTAGAAAAGTGGAAGGCATGCAGTGACCCACTGAACATAGGGTAACGACCCCCCAGTTGAGAACCAAGGCTATAAGTGATTGTGAGAATATTGTGTGAAAATGTTTATAAATAGACCCCATTGTGATAAAACAATGAAATGCATACAAGTAATAATATTTAAAACAATACAGTAGCGTTGTAATTCAAATGTAACACAAAATCTAGTATAAATAATCCAGTGTACGTTTTATTACAGTGACACTAAACTCAGGAGTTACATTTTAAAAATACTGTACATTCAAGTGCCCTATTGACTAAAATGTATCTTATTTGTGTATCACTGGGGTGTAGATCCTCAAATCATCTCTGAATTGGTGCTGACAGTGTCCTTCCTTCTGGAGGGTGGCTACTTTTGTTCCCCATGGTCCCCATGTGTGTTGTAAAGTAGTCACCGCTCCAAGCTCGCTCCCGTGATGGACTACAATCTCAATACAACTTAGTAAACTAACACAGCAATTTAAGCCACTTCCCTCCACCCTGCTCCTCCTCCCTCTCTTCTCTAAACTAGTAGATGGATGGCTGCTGGAGACTGCTCTGTCCCTTGTGCTCTTGTACTGGACAGGAAGTTCAGGGAAACAAGGCTGAGAGAGTTGGAGTTAGCTGTTAGGAAACATGATGACTAAGTGTTTGGGCAAAAACGTATAGAAATCCTTTGCTGGCCAATGTATATTTCTTTGATTTGCATTCATTACTGAAAAAAAGTGTCAGAGTTTAACTCCTGATTTTAGCGTCACTTTAAGAAGAGTCTTTTCATGCCAAGCAAAAAGTCCCGTCTCTTAAAAACCTCTGGGCCTACCACAGCACTGCAAGGGTTAACTGCTTGTCGGTGTCTAATATACTGGTGTAAAGGACTTTTGCTTATCTGAACCCCGCAACCCCAGCAGTTTGAGCTCACCTCTTTCCCCTACGCTTCGGCTCGTGGACTGTCCCTCGGCGTCCTCACATATAACTAAGGGCTTTTGGTGCTGCATTAGATGTGATAATGTCAGTGTGCCTCTGACCATCTGAGCAGAGGGGCAGAGGCTAGGGGAGCATGGGTCAGGTAAGCAAAAGTTCTTTACACAGGTACCCCACAAACAGTTAACCCTGCAGTGCGGGGGTAGCCCCACTGCAATGGGAGGTTTTATTGCTGCTAGGTTTAAGGATCCCCAGGCACAAGGCTACCTTAAGCATTAGTAAACGCTCAACAGAGATATGAATGTTGTTTCATACATGAAGGGTAATGGTTTCCTCTGGTTGAAAAATTGTATTTTAAACAAAACAAAAGTGAAGGTACCAAATAAACCATTTCTTACTATAGAGTCATTGGAAAAATGAAAGTGCCACAGTGATTATTTCGGTTCAGTTTGGGTTTTTTATTAGATGCATGTGAAGGTCTACACTTTTTATCTTTGCATTATATCTAATAAAAACCCAAACTGGACTGAATTAATCAGTGTTTGTGTCCAATATGTAAAAAAAAAATCCAGAGACTCCTTGGGATACCCTTGTCCACAAAGAGCTGCCTCCAAATGTCATGAATTGTACTATTCTCATCCACTAAAGGGGTCCAGCGCTCCTTCAATACACATCTATTTGCTGTAACTATAGAGGCTTCAGCAGCCACATTTGTTAGCTAAGTATTCTCAACTCCGATCTTCTGGATATCGAAGCTCTAAACTGCTCCTTGTTAAAATGAAGCCTCATGCAATCTGCTGAAATTATCAACTAGCTATCTCTCAAGTTCGTTTATCCCGATTCTCTTATCCTGCAGTTGCTCTGAACCACTACAGGGACACAAGATCCCAGAGCCACCCAGTACCAGGTTGGTGTCTTATTAGGAGAGATTCACAGCTGGTGTTGTCACCCCTTTTTTGAGTTAGATGGGCATCAGTCTAGCACTGGGAGTCACAGGACTGGTTTTAGTAGAGGGATGACGCACTAAAAAGATACTTATCTTGGGATTCTTGGCCTCTGCTTTTCCCACATTTTTCTTTTATAGAAGGATTGAAGCTCAAGCGATCAGTTGGGTCCAGTAATGTGGTGCCTGCAATTGAAAGCTAATAGTTTTTCTTTCTCTCTGACAGTTACATTGGGTGAACCTGTGGCCAGCCTTAGGCCATTCAAGCATTTACATTTTCTTAGCAAGCAGTAAATAAGTTTTGATGCCCAATTTCAGGCTCGTTTTTTAAATACTGCCCTGCAACAGTTAAAATGTAAAAAGAAATCAGCTTTCACTGCAAAATGCATCCTCTCTCTAGGGCTGTCGCCTTGTAGACTCACAGCTCCAAGGTCCAGCACCATTCTTTTTCCGGGTTGAATGATAGCCCCCGTCATTCAGCTCAGATCTTGGGAGTGCAAAGCATCATGCACACAACCCTGTTGGCTTACAGGAGAATGCTGCAGGGAACAGCACATACATTATTGCATGAGCTTGTTCTTTGCATCAATTCAGGACCGCCCACTAGGGATGTCCTAATACCGATAGTAGTATAAGTACCAGGGCTGATAGCAGGCATTTTCACTTGTGCTCCTGAAAATGCCCTGATTCTTAAGCCCGATACTGGCCCTTTCATTTTTTTAAACCGCAGCAGCTGCTGTGTTCCTGGGCTTGCGGGGACTTCGGCAGCCTGCTGGGGACCTGCAAGTAGCTGTCCAGGGCCCATATGTGGGGGGTCTTGTCGCCCACTGACAGGGGAGGACTGGGCCAGGAGGCAATTGGGGGGGCCGGGTCAGGAGGCCGGGGCCCAGCAGTGGAAAGGATGGAGGTCAAGGCCCTGCAGTGGAGATGGTCTGCCAACGGTCTGCCACTGGAAGAGGTCGGGGCCCAACATCACCGATCCGGACCATGAGGAGGCCAGGTCCCAGCATCGCTGGTGAGGTGGAGTGCCCAGAGCCACTGCAGATGTCCACATGTCGCCGAGATGAGATCGACACGCAGCCTGGTTAGATAAATTCAAAATAAATAAACATACAAACAAAAGAAAGAAAAATTAGAATGCCTAAACATTTGTAATTGCAACAATTTTCTGCGCAAAGTGGTGCATTATCTGACAGAAATGTCGGGGTGCAAATAAATGTTTTAGCTGAAGAGTGGCCTGGTCAGACAAAGCTGGCTCTGTAATACATATAGTTGCACAGGGCTACCATGTTTGTACATTACACAGTCAGTGGTTCTTGTATTGTAGAATACACTGAGTGGCTAGATTATTATGACCACCCCATCAGTACTTCGTTGGGCCACCTTTTGCCTTCAATACTGCGGCGATTCTTCTTGGCATTGACTCCACGAGATGTTGAAAGGTGATGCGAGGAATCTGACACCATGCCTGATGAATAGCACTGTCCAGTTCTGTGAGATTTGATGGTTGTGGAACCAGCTGCCTGATGGCTCTTTCAACTTCGTCCCACAAATGCTCAATTGGATTGAGATCTGGTGATTGTGGGGGCCACCTAAGCAAGGTAAATTCTCCCTCATGTTCTTGAAACCACTCCTGCACAATACGAGCACCGTGGCATGGCGCATTGTCTTGTTGGAAGAAGCCATCTCCATTGGGATACGCCATCAACATGATAGGATGAACTTGATCAGCAACGATACTTTGGTATGTTGTGCTATTC